TCTTTGCATATCTGAACTTGTCAACCATTACTGAGCGAGCCTATTCAAAGTCTGCTTTGTAATATCTCTGTTGGGAACAGAGGATGCCTGCATTTCAAACTCCAAAGGTGAAAGAGAGGTTGTATCTACTGGTCATTACTGACAATTGCCTAACATATAAAAGAGGGAGACGAGTTTCCTCACAGACAGAGAAGAAAAGGTGTAATCAAATTGGACTGTTCTAAACCAATGCTGTGAGTGGAAGGCAGTAGAAATTTTTGAATCCCTGCTTAAATTTTTATAACTGTTGAAAGGCAGTGACCTCATTAGCAGAGAGCTGGAATACCTATTCAGGTGAGATATGAAACTTGCTTTATATCTACTAAACTTAAGAAATTGAATATTGCTATGGTCAGATCACTTTGAAGTAAAAAAAATGGTTTTTGAAAGTTTATATTTTTAATGGACTGTTAAATTATTTTTCCTATAAAAATTCACCAGTGAATAGTCTCAAAAAGTAATGCTCAAAGGGATAGATAACATGGCATTTTGAAAGAAAAGTAATTAAATAATAAATTAATAATAAGCATTAACTTTATAGAATTAGGAAGCTTCTTTGACTTTTTTTTCAAGTGAAGTAGGCTGTGAAGTAGGCAGACATTCAGACGGAGTGAGCCTACCAAAAGCAGCCCACCATCATTCAAAATATGAAGAGGGTCCTGCTTAGAGAAACTGGCAAGGAGAAGCTACCTCGATACTATAAGGACATCAGCCTGGGATTCAAGGAGACCATTGAGGGCACCTACATTGACAAGAAATGCCCCTTTACTGGTAATGTCTCCATCTGAGGGCTCATCTTCTCCGGCGTGGTGACCAAGATGAAGAGGCAGATGACCATTGTCATCCACCAAGACCACCTCCACTACATACGGAAGTACAACCGCTTTGAGAAGCACCACAAGGACAGGTCAGTGCACCTGTCCCCTGCTTCAGAGATGTCCAGATCGGGCGACATTGTCACCCTGGGTGAGTGCCGCCCCAGAGCAAGACTGTGCGTCTCAACATGCTCAAGGTCACCAAGGCCCCTGGCACCAAGAAGCAGTTCCAGAAGTTCTGAGGCTGGATACCTGCCCCCGACCCCAACAAAATAGTGATTTTCTCAGTCACAAAATGAAATGAAATGAAATAAAATAAAATAAACTTCTTTGAGTATTTCTTCTCTCTAGGAGATCCAAACATTTTATTTACTGACTTGTTTAAAAAATACTTACCAATCCTATATAATAAAAGGCCAATATGCAAATAGACTGAACAGCGGAACAACTGAACAAACAGTTGCTATGATATGCGCTGACCACCAGGGTGCGCGTGTGGAACATGGCGGGCATCTGGCACAGCAGGATGGTGGAGCAGGTGAGCAGGGGGACCAGACCAAGGCAGGGCACCAGTTGCTGTCACTGAGGCGAACCTCTGGTGGTTACTGAAAATTCTTTGGTCCTGCGTGCCGCGGTCCCGCACAGCACTTATACCTGCTGCTGCCGGCACCGGCCCCACTCACACCCACTGCCAGCACCCAGTGCTGGCCCCAATCGCTTGGTGCTGTCAGTGGGTGCAAGCAGCAGCTGCTGGCCCTGATCACCCTTCAGGGCTGCTCCACCTCCCCTTGCTCCTGATGGGCAATAGGGGCAGCAGCTGCCACTTGCACCCACTAACAGTGCCGGCCCCAATTGCTCTGCACCATCAGCAGGTGTAAGCGCAGCTGGCGCTGTCAGTGCATGGGAGTTGTGGCGGAGGGAGCGGGGCTTCCGGCAGACAGGGGACCTGGGGCCATGGTGGGAGTGCGGAGGATGAGTGAAGACCCATCCCTATGCCCACCGTAGCCTCATAGCCCATAGTTCCTTTCAAGGTGCACATATTTGTGCACTGGGCCCCTAGTTAATGTATAATAGCAAGAGGAAGGGAATTTCTTTCAATCTTTAATTTTTAAAGTTGCCCTAAATAATTATTTTAATCATTAACATAGTATATTTTGTTAGTTCCTATGAAGTCAAAGTCATTAACTTTGGGAACTTAGATTCAGAATTGTACCCTTAGACAACACTCCTAACATAAAGCAGTTGGAGAGAAATCCATTGTGCTAGAAACAACTCTGATGCAGATATACCAGAGATATAACATTGGCTTTGTCTCATTTAGTTTGGTCTATTCATTCACTGTCATCCGAGTGATTACCAAAACATAGTATTTAGTTGTTTTCAGAGGAGACATATAGATTTTGAACCACTCAATAAAATGGGGATATCATATTAGCCTAATTTTCAAGGCTAATAAAAATGAAAATATAATAAAAACCTCCATTTATAAAGTCGAAAAGCACAGGTTTTTTGAAAATGGTCAACAGAAATAATTCTCTTTTTGCTGAAAGGAATATAAAGTACAGCAAACAAACCCGTGTTCTTAGTGCATTCAGATAGCATGAACACTCCGGCTCATTAGATGTCCTATATTCAGCAAATTAATTGGGACAACTATTTCAGAAAAGAAGTAACAGTATGTTGAAAATTATTTTATTTCCTTTTAGTTCTGCTTCAAAGACACACACTGATAAAAAGGTGTTCCAAAAACAAGGTGGTTAATTACTAAGGTTGTTCTGCTCCAAAATCACAGTGAAACCACAATTACTCTAAGAGCAAAAAGAATAGTTACTTCAGTTGCCAGTTCTAAACCTGCATCAACAGGAAAGTTTGATGAGATTTAAACAGATTGTGACTTCACTGACTTCTCTAATTATTCTGTTTATTTGGGAAAGGAAGGTAATGGTCATAAAAATGTATGCCTAGTCATATTGGCTCAGCTGACAAATTGCTGCTAATGTATTTTGTAGACTAAAACAATTTTATAAATGTACTTGGTCCTAAAAAAAATAGTCTTTGTTGTAGCTCCCAAACTTCAATATCATTCTAAAGGAAAACAAGGCTGTCTTCTTGGGAGAAAATATGGTTATAGTGAGTCAATTTTCAAGGTGCTCATCATGTTCTTGGACAGACTGTACTGCACACTTTCTTCTTTATTTTTTCGTGGGAAATCAGAAGTTTACTGAAGTAGAAGGTTGGGGAAAAACAATTACTTTGTGAAAGGAAACCAAGGCCTGCACCTAGAGGCCCACACTGAAGATCAGTGTCTCTCTGGACTCCATTTGGGGCATTCCATCTGCTGCTTGGGCTCTGGCTCAGGACATTCTCTTGGGTGACCAGGCTTGACATCCCCCAGGGCCCTTTTTAGACACCCCTCTAGACTCCAAATAAGGTCGTCCATCACCTGACCAGAAGTGTAATCAGATACTTGCCAAAAAATCAGAACTTCCGAATATTTTCTCTACGATATGTACCATATGGAGAAAAATGTCACAATATGACATTCTCTCTCATCATAAAGACAGAAAAATGTCAAACAGAGCAAATGAACACATATCATTGAGAAAGTGTCTGACAACAACTTATAGGCTCTACAACTCCTCATTATATTACTACATTTTACTATTATTTGGAGCCTTTAGTTTATTTACATCTATTGTATCTGTTTGGTGGAACTGTTATGTTAAAAGGGTCTGCTACTGCACTTATCTTTGAATGCCATAGTAATTGATGTCCTGTCAAACAGCTTGAAATCTGCCGTGGTAGAATATCCACATCACAAAAAGTAACAAATGGTGCAAATCAGGGCTTAATTTTTTGTGTTGTTGGGTTGTCCAGACTTTAAAGCAGATTAAACTTCATGAGTGTCATGTCTATAACTTTTGCGTTGTAGATATCACAAACTTTAAAGAAAATGTTCTTCCAGTATTCAAAAACTATTATTTAATTCAGCCAAAAGTGCATTTCTACTTGCAGGCGTATTTGTGAGTCCTTTGGAGGACCCTATGTGGGACTCCACTCTGCAGTTATTGATGTAGAAGATCCTGCTGGAACTCGTCTCTGTAGGCCCACCTCAGTTCTATACAAACGGAAATCTCTCTGCTAAATCAGACCCCCTTTCTTCTAGCTGTTTCATTTTATTGATTGAAGAACAAGAACTGTGATGATGATGGGACTGATTCTAGCACCTTTCAAAGAGACCCACTTTGTAAGTGGCTGAGCCCCAAAATTAGAGTCTCTCCAAATGCTGACTTTAGCTGCTGAGCACTTTTTCACTCAACATTGGGCCTTGGTCATAATTCTGATATAATTGAGGGAAAAATGCTCGGGATATAAACTATGATAGAACAATAATTTGATTTCAACTCTGTGTTTTTGACTGATATTTATTGATCTCCTCCATACCTTAACGTTATTTACCATTTAAAAATCTCTTATAAAATACAGTTGCTGTTATTTACTAATCAAAATTTGTATGTTTCATCTGATATACCAAATACTAACATAGAGAACACAAAATCAACAATGAGTAAGATAGAGAGATACTGTCCTTGTTTTACAGTATTTTTCTCTACAATTCTAGAGACAATGCAATTAACTTGGGGTTAGCATTGTCTCAGAGAGTGCTAGTATTGAATAGCAAAGTTATAATGAAAGTTTTTTTAACAGAGCATTAAAATGATGTTTACAGCCAACTTAGTCCTTCAGTCCCAGGATAAATGCAAATCTAATTTTATTAATTGTAATTCTCATAGTATTACTATTTAAAAAGGTGTATCTTATTTAAATATGATCAAAATGAAAAACTCAAGCTCTCCTTAATAATTAGCACTCTCTATTCTATCATTTAAATGTAGCAAATCAAATGTGTAGTTTCTCTGTACTCTGTTAACATAAATTGATAAAGTATTTCTGAAGAATATACATTTTCAGGAATGTTAAATCATTGCACTAATGTTGTACTGTAAACTGAATTCTGAAGCAGGGCAAAACAAATCTGTATTACATCCTTCATAAGTAAGAAAAAGGCACAGTGGTAAAAGAGCAAAGTGCATACAGGGGAGGTTTCTAAATAATGCTGGAAGTATGAGCAATTGTGGAACAGTAAGAAGCTTGCTGTTACTCTGAATATAATGTAATCAAGAACATGTTGAACAGAATCAGGCAGATTGGAATTTTTATCCAGTGATAGTTCATGCAGAACTGCTTAAGGCAGTTGGAGTCCAAGGATCCTTATTTTATTAAACTGATAAGAACAGATACTACACTTGATCTTAGCCAAAAGGCCGAGAAGCGATGGGGATCCTTATTTTAAATATAGGAATCGTTATATTTGTGTTATGCAACCCAACAGGATTCTCTGAGGATCCAGTGCACAAATTTATAGAATGCCACCATAAAAAATATTGCCTGTGGAGAAAGGGTGGAATTGTAAATAGGTCTAGTCACAATAGACAGCAGTATGCAGATTCCTCAAAAAATGAAAAAGAGAACTGCCATATGACTGCAGTCCAGCAATTACACTTTTGGGTATTTATCCTAAGAAACAAAACACTAATTTGAAAACACTATATGCACCTCTGTATTCACTGCAACATAACTTACAATATCCAAGAAGTGGAAATAACCTAAGTGTCCATTGATAAACAAGTGGAAACAGAATATGTGGTACATATATGCAATGGAGTCTTACTCATCCATGAAAAAGAATGAAATCTTGCTATTTACAACAACACAGCTAGGACTAGAGGGAATTATATTAAGTGAAATAAGTCAGATGAAGGAAGACAAACACCATATGATTGCATTTGTGTGTAAAATCTAAATAACAAACAAATAAAATAGAAATCAATTCATTACTACAGAGAGAAAAATGATAGTTGCCAGGTGGGAGATGACCTTGGGGGATGGGTTAAAGGACAAATGGAATTAAGAAGTACAAATTACCAATTATAAAAACAGTCATGGGAATGTTAAGTACAGCATAGGAAATACAGTCAGTAATATTGTAATAATTATGTAAGACATCAGTTGGGTACTGATTTATCAGGGTGATCACTTTGCAAGTTGTATAAATGCCTAATAATGATCTTATACATCAGAAACTAATATAATATTATACATCAACTATAACTAAAATAAATATAAAAAAATTATGCAGGGCAAAGTATTATCGTGTGGAATTTTTTGGTATTTATTACATGGACAACATGAGTTAAACACTTATGTATTTAATTTATTTAGATTATCAGTTGGATATAACTTCTATAATGAAATCATTTAACTTTAAGCAAACTATCTTAAATATTCTGTGAAATGTAAAGAAGGCATAGCTTTAATCACTGCAACACAACAATGTGGATGTCAAGGACCTTAGCTCCTGGCACGTCTTGAAAATTTCCAGGAGTCAAAAAGTACTTTTTTCCTGCTAAAATTCCAACCAATGTGTCCACTTAAAACAATATTCCATTTGTTACCTCATGCAATCCACTTGAGAAGACAACTGCAGGGAGATGTGCCATCATTAAAACATCTCTCTCTGTGAAGGCAGATTCTGCATGTATTACTTCAATAATGCATACTAAGTCTGATCCAGAACGCACCCGAATGCAGAACAGAAATAATCTTTAGAGTGTTTTGCTGACAGACTTGGACTTCTTTCCCAAGAAAAGAATGCTTTTCAGGCCTAAAGATGGCCTGTATATTTTGAAATACTAATGAAGTTTGTTATTGGTTGATATTTATGATTCATGCAATTCTGGTTTGGCAATCCAGTACTGTTTTTTCTCAAACTATGAAAAAATCCTGCACCAAATGTCTTTGCTTTTTGTTTTATTTTGTTTTGTTTGTTTTTAATTGAGGTTTAATTACAGAGTGCAGAAGTTGGAAGTGTATACTTAAAAATGTATACACCCACATAAGCAACATCTGAATTATATATAGGACATCTTTTTGTCTAAAAAGTTTCCTCCCAACTATATAGAGTCACTTTACATTTCTCTTATAATGAGCAATATTGAGCATCTTTAAATAATTACAGAACAATTTGCATTTACTTTGAGTTATTGATTTATCTGTTTTTCCCTGATTCTTTTCTATTGTGTTATATTGGTTTTGCATCTCACTGTTTGGAGATCTTTATATATTAATTATATTGGCCTTTTGTTATTGTATTTTCCCAATGTTTACACACTTTCTTTTTTGCCCATGGTATTATTTTTTTCACACAGTTCATGTTATTGTAGTAAATTTATTTATGTTTTCTATTATTAACTTGGGTTCCATCATAGTAATAAAAGATTTCTCCACTTTTGTTCCATATATGTGTTTTTTTAGATTTTGCATGATTTTACATTTAAATGTTTGACCAATTTGCATTCCAAAATGTTAGTTATTTTATATATAACACTAGGATTTAAGTTGATGTATAGAAGATATATACATTGCATTTGTCATGAAAACCCAATTTTCCACTCTAGAACAAAAACAAGGTTATTATGTCCTTGATTTTTTTATAATGAAAATGAATGATAGAAGAACATGGGCATTAGAGATTATATAGGATATGATCTGTTCAAACTAAACCCCCATTTCGCCAACATTGACTAAAGACCATAAGCCTCAGTGAACATTTCGAGTGATGTGGAAATGCTATTTCAAAAAGATCATATTCCACTGTTGGAATTATTACATAATTATTACTTTAGTGAGACAAAGTTATTTGTAGTTATCATCTTTTGGTTCTAGGTTTTGTTTATCCATAATGTCACACACAAAAATCCTACCATTTAAGTGACAAACTAACAAATATTTTAATTATTAGCTGATAAATATTTCATAATGCCTTCTTTTCCAAGGTATCTGTCCCAATTAATACAACTTCTCAAACAAATTATTTCTAGTCCCTCACCATCCTGGTTATTCTAATCTTGGACATTCTGTTTACAAATGTGCCCCTTTTAATATGTTGCTACATTTAAGCCTAACTCACTGTAATTATTACTTTTATTGTATTTCCATTAATTAGCATTGCCTAAAAGTTTATTTGGATATGTCATACTGTGGTTTTTTTGTTATACCTAATTTACTCTGTCACCTCTTAATGGATTATGGATTATTCAGATTTTCTACTTATGTTTTTGAAAATATATGCATAAATTTTAATTATCTGGCAAACTCATTTAAACAATTTCTTGGTTTAATTGTGCTAGAGTTGATCCCCTATGGTCCATGTTTCAATTTCAGGGCTTTAGCTCGCTTTTGTAAAATTTTTAGCAGCTTTAATAAATAAATGTACTCCACTAGAATCAGAATCTGATCTTCATTCAAATACTTTATTTAAATATTTGCCTTTGGAACATACAGAATAATTCTATACTTTTTTTATATTACTGTCCTAAATATTTAAAATATACTTTCAAGATATAATTTGAATATAAAACATTAAAATTAGATGAAATATTATGCTAAAACTTACTAAGATAGGATCTTAGTTTACCTACTTCCCTCAGAAATAGATTCTCGTCATGGTATTATATTTGAATTTCGTAACATCTTATGTTGTGCTCATACATTTTTACTTATTTAAATAGTTAACCAAATAATTTTAACTGCCTTTTAAATGACTGATTACAAGTTGATATAAATAATTTTATGTTCGTGACATTTTGCTTAATATAGCTGCAAATATCTTTATTTTCAATTTACATAGTCTTCTAACTATTAGCTTATTTCTATTCATTATCCTTTGTAAATTTCCCTGATGCAGACTATATATATATCTTTAGGATGTGCTTTGGTTATGAATGTAATCAGTGTTCTTATGAAAGAGATTGCACAATGATCCCTAGTCCTTTCCACCATGTGAGGTCATAGCAAGGAGGCAACTGCCATGAACCAGGAAGAGGGTCCTCACCGGAACACGACCGTACCGGTGCCATGATCTTGGACTGGGCCAGAGTTTCACACTATAAAGTAAAGGTGTTTCAGTAATTTTTGCAGTATCTAGCTCTCCTAAAATTTTATATTTCTTGTGTTATAGTAACTATTTTGACTTAATCTTTAGAGTATGAAAATGCATTGTACATTTATATTTTTAGGACACAAAGATAAGTGCTTGAAATTTACCAAATTTTCCCAAATATTTTCTTATGATGAATCAAATAGTTCATTAACAGGTATAAAGTGGTATATTCAAATTTTCTCAAATTCTTTAGACAAATCAAATATATTAAATTCAGAAGTTTTTTTTTTTATTCCAAACTCTTTATTAATCCATTGAGTCTCATACTCACCTAATGTCTAATCCTACCTAATAAAAAGGGAATATGCTAATTGACCCTCATGCTGACACAAAGATGGCAGCACCCACAGCCAATAAGGAGGGAATATGCTAATTGACTGCCACACCCTCAAAGACGGCAGCACCTACAGCCAAAAGATGGCCAGCAGGAGAGGGCAGTTGTGGGCAATCAGGCCAGCAGGGGAGAGCTGTTAGGGGTGACCAGGCCAGCAGGGGAGGGTAGTTAGGGGTGACCGAGCCTGCAGGGGAGGGCAATTGGGGGGACCAGGGCAAATTGGCCAGCAGGTGAGGGCAGTTGGGGGTGATCAGGCTGGCAGGGGAGGACAGTTGGGGGTGATCGGGCTGGCAGGGGAGAGTTTAGGTGTTAATCAGGCTGGTGGGCAGGCAAGCAGTTGGGAGATAGCAGTCCTGGATTATGAGATGGATGTCCAACAGCCCACAGGGATTGGGCCTAAACTGGCAGTCGGACATCCCCCAAGGGGTCCCAGACTGGAGAGTATGAAGGCTGGGCTGAGGGACACTCTCCCCCATGCTGAATTTCTAGAGGCACTGGGCCTCTAGTAGAAGTTATAAAGATAAAAAAACTCTTTGTTAAAACAAAGTCAAGTAATTCACAAAGAATAAACAAAATCTAAATTCTGTATCTTTGGCACAGAACATATCCTCATTAAATTACAGCTTTCATAAATATTTTTTTGGCTGTGAAATTCTAAATTTTAAGATGAGAAGAGATAGTTTTTTTCCTTTAGTTAAATAATTTATTTATTTTCTTGTTCCTGAGCCATAAAGAGATTTCATTTATGTTATAACATCTGTATAATAGTGAGTAAAAACACTCCCTCCTTCCAAATAATTACTTATATTGAAAGAGTCCAAAATCTCTGGTCCCTGGACTATAAGTTGCTAAAGTTTCAAAACAAATTTAGTGTTGATAGTGAATTTTTTCATCTATGTTCCTGATACCTGTGACCTATGGATGAATTATTGGATATCTTT